AGCGGAGCCGTCCTTTACTTGTGAAACGCACTTCACCCTGACGAGGACTACGTCATCTATGCTTAAGGGTGATTAACGATGTCTTCTCCGATACGGGAGGGGGGGGGGTCGTCGCAATCACGTTCTCGAAGACTAGTCCAATAAATAGTGCGATGAGAGGCCGTTTCTCGTAAAGGCCACTGTGCTGGTCGTTTACTGTATTTTACTGCCATTACTTCCCTTTGACTTACTCTCTTCACAAGCATATACGCATGAAGGGGGAAGGAGGAGTCTGATGACTTTGATACACATGTACACAATCTGTTCAAACTACTGCCGATATTCACGTCACAGAAGAAAGCGTGTGCCTGTGCCTCCTCCTCTCCTCCAAGTCGGGTTGGTGCTAACCCCCCTCCCCCCGAAAAACACTTATGGTTATGAACCTGTTGGCGAGCTTAGGAGGGTTTGAAGGAAATGAAAAAAAGTGAGCAGGTGGTGTTGAGCGTTTGACGAAGTCGGGTGACCGGACCCGACAGTCGACGCTCAGGGACGTGGTTCACAATTTGTAGCTTGGAGATCAACGTGGCCGCTGACATCCCCTAACACCAACGTTTCTCTCCTGCAAGGCTGTAGGTTCCTTGGTGAGGCTCCGCAAGTCAGCGGTAGCCTCCTAAAGACCAGCCTTCGCCTTTGTGTTTTCGCTCGCCACCTCGCATCGCCCAGGCTGCACCTTGGGCTCCCAGACGAGTGAGCCTGTGTCGGCCTTTAGACTTAGTTTATGCAGAAACGCTTTGCTTCATTTATTACCAACTTTTATCCGAATGCAACCCAGCATGGGGGATTGCTGTGAAAGGAGTGGTTCCTTGCTATATGAAAGAGTTTGTTCGCGATGTCCAAATGTTAAGCACTATATAGTTTTGAAATCACTTGTTACATTATTTCACAAGAATAAAATAAAAAAATGAAAAGGGCGACTATTTCTAATGAATATGTTTGAATTTAGTAATCTTAGAGTTCAACTCGCTTCAATAAATGAAAAATAGATCCCTAATGTTTTTGAAAAAAAATGCTTGATTTCGATAAACTTGGCACTCAATTAGTCTTTTCTCACGTAGGAAATCAAATATGGCCTCGCAAACGCTCCTGTGGTGATAACCCAGCATAGTAGTCCCAAAGGAAACAGCCACCGGAAGAGATAAATTTATTTTCATCCTTCAAAGCAGTATATTAAAAGTTTACCTCTGATTAGTTCATAATCTGCGCGTTAGAAAGAAATCAACCAGGAACTCACTGTAATTGCAATGGAGGCATAAAGGTGGCTGCATCAGACGAGAGCTGTGTATAGGTAAAAGTTTAGTGGCGGACTCGGCATCATATTATGGTGACAGCTATTTCGATTCTTCTGGAGAAGAACTATCAATTTTTTTTCACGAGAAACCTTTGTCAGTTCATTCTTCCTCTTTTGCTGGTGTGTGCTTGCTTCTTTTTTCCATTTTTTAATAAACTGTTCAAAACCTGCAAGCAGCCTCGCCATTTTCTTGCAGAAGTTTGGTTCACTAACGCAATGTACTTCATCTGATCTAAATACTATATGAACCTCATCAAAGGCAGCATGAGATGCGTCCGCAAGTAAAGGCTCCTGCTTATTTACGCAACGTAACAAGTATGCTGGGTTTCAAAACTCTTTCCCTGTGAAATTGTACGGCCGTATTTTTCGCAAGTATCCGACCTTCAAATGGCGTCTTGTTGTTATATATTTGTGAGTGACGCTACAATGTAGGGAACCTGTTTATTTTCATCCACCTGAAACGTCAGTGGCATTTGCCTTAATCCGGGCGCGGCATTGTCTTTGCATTCCTCCTTCCATTGGCGCATTATCTCACGCAATTCCCCCATTTCCCAATACGTGATATTGAAACCGCCAGCAAAACGTATACATTGCCGTGATAGCGTTAAAAAGCTCGTCTCGCCGAAATTTCGGCATCGGCGTCGGTGTGGGTGACGTTGGTTGTGATAGTACTATCACCATCTTGTTCATGACGGAAAAATTCAGACAGATACAAATGAAGTAAAGAATAAAAAATTTCCAAGTCCAAGTGAGGATCGGGTCCTAGTGAGAAGCGTGGAAGCAGGTGTTCTACCGCAGCAACATGTCTGCTTAGAGATATTGAGAAAATAATTTGCTGCTTCCAAGTGCAGTAAAGGTATCGTTCATGCTGTACAAACACACGCGTTCTGTTGTCGAAGAGACTGAAAAGCTGAACCGACACCGAAAGTGAAAAGAACCGAAGACGACGAAGGTGCACGCAGACCGGTATGAGCGTGAGCTCGCGAGCTTTAGAACATCGACGTGGTGGGCGACCGCAGCCAGCTTGCTTGAAAAGAGTTCATTACATCTGAGGGACCAAAAGGGACCGAGATGGTGCTACCAGACCAGCCGGAAGAAGCTTGGCGAGTCCCGAGGACGAGCCAATGTTCCGGACCAAGCCTATCAGTGCTGGCCCCGTGGTGAACGAGTGTGCAGCCAGGGTGAATAGCTGACCCCGTTCCACTGGCAGAGTACGTGGCCACGGTGCGACGCCCGAGCAGGTCCATCGCTACGATTGGCCGAAGGCGTGGCCTAGGTGCTCTGTCACGTGCAGCGTGGGCCATCGTGTTCCGCGACGAGCAATTATTCGGGTGCTCGTGTGCCATCTCACAACTTCATCGTACGGGCTCGTAAGACTTGTCGCACTCTTACCCCTTCATGCTTGCGCCGTCAAGATTTCCATGGTACACTGTGACGGACGTTCGACAAAAATAGACTTTGGGACGCGCCAATATTCTCGTATCTGTAGATACAGGATTTAATATATATTAGCATTATTTCGCCAATCAGAGTGCATGCAATCGTTATATGTCAAGTCTATAAGTATTGCTTGCCTTTAGTATTGGTGGTCCGCGTCTGAGGGTCCGCGAACCACTACAATCCTGGCAAGCTTACCAATGGTAAGGCTTCGTTGGCCCCAAGAAGCAGACAATCAAGAGAAGACAAGGAAAGAAGCTTTATCAACTTGGCAAACAATAATTAAATGCAATTTGAGGAACAAACAATACAATATCCTTTAGGTCCTAAACATGCATACGCGGGAGAATCGGTGTGTCCCGAAGTCTAAGACTATCAAACGTTACTCATGGTGTACCATGGAGCCGTCGACAACACAAGCATGACGCGGACGACCAAGTCGCACGAGCGTGTACGATGAAGTTGCGTGACGGCGCACGAGCAGAGGATAAGCTGTTCGTCTCAGAACACGTGGCCCACGATGTGCGCGACGTAGCAACAAGACCATGCTTTGAGCCTCTCATTGTGCCCCACTCGCTATAGGACGTGGTACCGCGGTCTGATCTCCGCCACTGGAACGGGGTAAGTTGCTCGCCTTGGCTGCACGCTCGTTGACCACTGAAACAGCACTGCTAGGCCTGGTCCAGAAAATTCGCTCGTCCCGGCTGGTATGAGAGCACTATTTCGATTGGTACCTTTTGGTTCCTCAGGTCAAAAGAACTGCTCTCTAGCAAGTTGGCCCCATTCTCCCACCATGTCGATGTAAACACACGTGCATCATGTTCATCTCTCTCAGTTCTTTTCATTTGCGGCTTCGATTAAGCCTTTCGGTTTCTTTTCACACCTGTATACAGGCTTCACACGACTTGTACAATTGCAGTAATATTGCGTGGTACAAGCGTGCCATGGGCGTCAGAAAATGTTATACTGACGACTCCATGATGTATAGCCGGCCACCTCTTACAAAAGGCACACATTTTACTGCGCGTATTCCCTTCAAACCCCGTAGTGGCTGCAAAGAAAGTTGGAAAAATATTTCATGCGCATATTTGATCGGGGTATAAAGCATGCTACTCATTACACAGAATGCATCCATGTGCGAGAGCTTCGCTCATACAAGCCACTTTCAACTTTATCAATTACATTAGTAATCCACAATTTAAGCTTGTAGATAAACATGCATACAATAAAAAGAATGCACGAAATGGTTGAAGTGCGCACTAGGGATAGGATGTGGCTATCACATTCAAGTCTTGAAGGACTTGAATGTAATTTAAGAGTCTTGCATGCGGTGAACTTCTCACCAATTATTAGTGACGAGCGTTGCCTATAAGTACATATAACTTTTCTTTAGAAGTAAGGGTGAGAGCCCATCCGAGTCTTTCGGTGCAGTGGACATCATCTGTGTTTTGACGTTGACAGGGTCTCCCTCGTGATACAAGTAGGGTCGGCGTCAAAGAACATTTGCGGGGCGCGCAATATCCCAACTGGTACCCGGAAAGAACCATTGTTCGTCTCCCCTCTTGCTCTGTTATCGAGCTGCTCTCCAGGTGGTGCTGGCTGCTTACGCCAGAAATTCTTTACTTTTTTCTGAGGGTGACATGCTCAAAACACCCATATCGTTTCATTCTTCACTGCCCGTGGATCTCCCTATTTGAAGACGGTGCGTTCAGCGTTACCAAAGCTTGATCACACATAATCTCAGAAGCTGCCTCACTGTGGGGTGCTAGTTTCTTATGGTATTTAGGCAGCTGTCTATAACTGATGCAAAACCGTTCCGGATTAACGACGCTAGCATTAATTATATGATGCGTTAAAACATTTAGGATTGAATTTTAGCTTTACGAGTCGCAAAGCTATAAGTTAGTATAAAGAATAACAAAGAAAACTTTCACTGTCAGGCGTTCTTTAAAGGTTAACGGTCCCCCGTGTTTTTTTGTTAGTCCCGTCCTCATAATTTGAGGCATGCGGTTGTCAATATAAACAGTTGGCACGATGAGCTAGTTTGAAAACTGTCTATTGCCTGGTAATAATTATGTGTTACCGAAACTAAAACTATTCTGAAATAAAAAATAATGGCCGCCTAGAGAGATATTTGTGCTAAAAATGCTGTGTTAGCAATTTAAAAAACGGAGGTCGGACTAGCCTTGTGGCCACATAACACTGCTTTAATTAAACTTATGCAAAATTTACGTACTTGACGTTCAACGCGGCCGTACATGCAGTTGAGTGTCCAGACACGGTACTCCACTGGCCAGACTGTAAAATAACAAGAAAATTGGATGTTGAAACTCGCTTGACCGAAATTGCAGTTCTATTTTGGACGTACGGCACCCGTTAATGCTCTCAACAGATACCACATAGAAAAGAATCAGCGCAGCATGCACGAAGTCACGCAAGGCTGTGTCGCACAACAGCTGGTGGGCACGTAGCTGTCATTGGGTTGGCTAAGCTTTTTCCCGCTCACCACTTTCTCTTTTCTATCCTTTGGTATACTATACAATACGATGGAGGCGGAAATGTCGTAGGCCCGTGTGCTCAGATTTGGGTGCACGTTAAAAAACCCCAGGTGGTCAAAATTTCCGGAGCCCTCCACTACGGCGTCTCTCATAATCATATGGTGGTTTTGGGACGTTAAACCCCACAAATCAATCAAATATACTATACAATACATAGTGATATTTGCTCTGCTCAATGTTTTTTGTGTCTGTTTATTGTCATTTCTTGCTCACACTCTCTCTCTCTCTCTCTCTCTCTCTCTATATATATATATATATATATATATATATATATATATATATATATATATATATATATATATATATATATATATATATCAGTTCCGACCAATGATGTCGCGTAACGCAACTCCAGTAGACTTTGGAGAACATAGTGAAGGAGGTGAGAAACCCAGAGTCGGCGACTCTTTACGTATGATGTCTCCTATGATGTCACGGAGAGGTCTGTTAGTCGTGAAATAAGGTTCGCCAATGTCTGGTTGTATATGAACCAAGTACAGTTTATCGAGGCGCTGACATGTCGCGACGACGTCAGCGATGGTAGCAGGGTTCTGAGACACTAGGCCATGGAAAGCAACAGGGTCTATACCCTTAAAAATGTGGCGTACTTTATCCGACTCCGGCATAGATGAATTGGCACGCCGGCAGAGCGCAAGAACGTCCTCGATGTACGACGTGTACCACTTACCGGAAAGTTGTTGGCGAGTGTCGAGGGTTCTCTTCGCGACTGTGGACTGAATGGCCGGTGTGCCGAAAAAGTGACGGAGCTTCTGCTCGAAGGTCGCCCAGTCAGGTATGTCGATGATGTGGTTAAAGTACCATGTCTTCGCCACACCGGTCAAGTATAAAGAGACGTAACGGAGCATGGCGCTATCGTCCCAGTGATTACAAAACAATTACGCGGCTGTATTTATCAAGCCAGTCCTCCACGTCTTCCCTGCGAAGACCGGCGAAGAGAGAGGGATCACGCTAGTGGCTGTGTACGTAAAAAGGAGTCGCGGCTGAAGACGGCGGGAGGGAAGATAACAACAGCGATGACAGGCTCTTTGTGCGACATGCTGCTTGACAGTGGGTACAAACGGCGGCCTGAACGAAGCTCCAGGGAATCGAGCGAGGTGGGAGAGGACCTAGCAGCGAAAATAGACCTCCACCATGTATAACGACTGGCATGAGACAGCCAGCGTTTATTCAGCCCAAGGGCTCAGCAGCGAACGGGCAGTCTGAGACAGAGCGAGCACGCACACACATGCCCACACACTATATATATATATATATATATATATATATATATATATATATATATATATTTGACGTATGCATGTGGGAGGTGGAGCACATTCGGCAAGCACTCTCAAATTATGACAGGTAGATTGCCACTATCCCTCAAGAGGAAGGTATATAACAGCTGTATCTTGCCAGTACTTAGCTACGGAGCAGAAACCTGGAGACTTACAAAGAGGGTTCAGCTTAAACTGAGGACGACGCAGCGAGCAATGGAAAGAAAAATGGTAGGTGTAACCTTAAGAGACAAGAAGAGAGCAGAGTGGATTAGGGGACAAACGGGGGTTAAGGATATCATAGTTGAAATAAAGAAGAGGAAATGGGCCGGGCATGTAGCGCGTAGACAGGATAACCGCTGGTCATTAAGGGTAACTAACTGGATTCCCAGAGAAGGGAAGCGGGTTAGGAGGAGACAGAAGGTTAGGTGGGCAGATGAGATTAAGAAGTTTGCGGGTATAAATTGGCAGCAGCAAGCACAGGACCGGGTTAACTGGCGGAACATGGGAGAGGCCTTTGTCCTGCAGTGGACGTAGTCAGGCTGATGATGTGTACTGAAGAAGTTGAGTGCTACTCAGAAAGACACAGGGTATCTGTGAAGAAGACGATGTTTGGTTGGCTTGGTACACAGGCTGGTTCCGCCATTATCACTTGATTTGTCGTGACTGCTGTCCTGTTATATAAGAGTGCCGCTCGAAAACGCCTCATTTATTTAGTGGAGGTGCGGGGTAACGCATAATCCTGGAATTTCGAAACCGTACGTTGCCTCCAGTTGCTACGATGCCCATGAACGATGATCAGCAGGCGGCTGCCTCAGCTCCGACTGCTGCAGCTCCTGTCTGTCTCGGCTCCTTTCGGCAACGTGATCCGCCTGCCTTCAGTGTAACCGATGACAAGGATATGGAAGACTGGCTCGACGAATACGACCGGGTGAGCAAGAACAACAAGTGGGACGATGCGCA